ACTCTATAAAAAATCTTGTCCATAAGGACAAGGACATTTACACTTCTCATATATTAATTAAAGACCTTAATTTCTCAAACTAAATCTGCTTATTACTCCGGGCCTCATCTCCTCCCACAAAGGTAACACCAAGATCCTGTTTTCATTGTTAAACAATGTTTTTCATCCTCCGGATTCTCTCCCCTCTCACTTCTATTCAGATGACAGCTGTAACTCACTCATGTTCTTTTTATAATGATAAAATTAAGAAAATTCATCAGCAACTTTGTCCTGCCTCTCCTCTGTCTTAATCCTTTGAACCTTCTCCCCTCAGTCAGTCCTTTTCTACCTTTCAGCTTCCTTCTGCTTCTGAAATAGCCAACCTCGTCCAGAAATCCAAGCCCTCCACATGTTCATTAGATCCTCTCCCAACAGTTCTTGTAAGGGTGTTTATTTCCACTGCTTCCAATAATTTCTGCCATCATTCACTCTTCTCTTTCTTTTGGAACTGTCCCAACTATTCTCAAAACTGCAGTTGTCACTCCAATCCTGAAACAATCTGGATTGGATCCAAATAATTTAAATAATCATTGTCCTATTTCTAACCTTCCATCCATCCATCCATCCATTTTCTGTACACGCTTCTTCCATTCATTTCCAAAATTTTAGAAAAACAGTTGCCTCTCAACTATATCTCTATTTAACCAAAAACAGTCTATATGAACAGTTCCAGTCTGGTTTTTGCCCCAGTCACAGCACATAATCTGCTCTCCTCAGGATCACTAACACTCTTCTCATGGCAGCAGATTCTGGTTTACTCTCTCTTCTCATCCTCCTTGACAAGGCCGGATTAACCATATGGGCAATTGGGCAATTGCCCAGGGGCCCACRGTCTCAAAAGGGCCCTGGGCAGTCAAGGCATGGACATAACGGATGCTGGATATGCGTGAGACATGTCTGCCTGAGTCCCCGCACTTCCTGCATCTGTGCTGTATGTCCCCCGCATTTTCTCAGCCGTTACAGCTGTTTTATCCATTATTAACATATGGTAATGCGTTTCCTGAGCCGTCTTTGAACGCACCATAAGTGTGCGCAAGCTACTCCTGCAGATGACGGATAAGAGACGTTCTTCTGACCACCCGCCTGCTGAGCAGAGCCTCCCGGTGTAAAGAGC